CAGTGACAGCCTCAGACCAGGACTGATCCAGGTCCTGGTTGGTCCAGTTCAGGTGTCACAGCTGTGGAATGTTTCACTCTCCGTCCAAACGTTGACTCTGGCTCAGACCTGGAACTCTTTATAGACATGAAGGACATTTCCAGACACTCAAACATCTGACTGGTACTGACTGGTACTGACTGGTACTAATGTCTGGAGGTCTGCCGGTCCATCTGGGGCTCTTCTGGTGAGGTGTAATTCAAGGTTTCACCAGGAGGGGCATTACTGAGGAGACTACTGCTGGGGCGCCTCCTGGTGAGGACCAGGACCAGGACCAGGTCCCAGACCAGGACCAGGTCTCAGACCAGGACCAGGACCAGGACCAGGACCAGGTGAAGCGATGACGAAACAGTGACTAGAGTTGGAGTGAAACCAGCAGCTGCTCCTGTTCCTCCAGGACTGGAACTATTTTTACTCCCATCAGCCTCTCTGAGACCCCACACACTGCAGAAATGAAACACACACACACACCTTGGCCTGTAACTGGCACAAGGGGGCGCTCACAGGATAGTAAGCCTGGTTTCAAGTTCAAAACGTCAAAGTTCTTTAGACAACCACTAGAGGGAGTCCTGCTCCTGACGTGAAGTCTAAGTTCAGGCGACCAAAAACACCAAAAAGGTTCAACGTTTCAACCAAACCAAATTCAGGTTTGAGAAAAAAAAAACAAAACAACAACAACAACAACTGTCCAAGTGCCATGATTGGCCCCAGAGCCAGAGCTTTGGCACATGTACACACACACACACACACACACAGACTCTGGTGAGAACATTCTAGAACCTGGGCTGCAGTTAAAAATCATTTTATTATTATTCCAGAGACCAGAGACCAGGACCAGGACCAGGACCAGGACCAGGACCAGGACCAGGACCAGGGTCTGGGTCTACATGCATGGAGATTAACATGTCAAACACATTCACATTTACAAAAGGTCAGTTCTGGGACGGTCAGTGAGGGAGGGGGCGGAGTCTCGCTGTGTTTCTTCTTCCAGGTCATTGACAGGTTCTGGACTGTCATTCCTGAGACGTCCACCAGAGGAGACCGATGGTTCAGATACCAGTCCTGAACTTCGTCAGGCTGTAGATCAAAGAAACTGTTCTGGTTCTGAAGCGAGGCTCAAAGAGCGCCCCCTTCTGCAGCAGAAACATGCCTGCGACACGAAGGCCGGCTCTCAGACCCCGGGGAAAAACGTCATCAGATAAATCCTTGGAACTGTTACAGACTTGACTTCAAAGGAAAGTTCCGGAGATTTTAGTTTAACTTTACTGAACGCTTACGATCTTTCGGAAACGACAACATAAACTCTCACACCACGACACCAAAGTCCATGGAGAAAATCTGAGATTTTAGCTCACAGAGACACAGAAGCTGCTGGTCCACTGCTGCCTCCTGTGGTCAGTCTGTGTCACTGAGGTCAATCTGAACAAAGAACTTGAAACAGTGAAGTCACAGAGGAACGTCTTAGAACTGGGGTCGGGGGGGTGAGGT